TTTTCTCGAGTTTTCACCGTCTCCACAGGCGTTCCACAGCAGCGCACACAAAGCCCATAGAAATACGTGGTACAGTGGTGCGCGTCTTAGCAACGTAGAACGTCCGTGACGTAGCTCCGCCCCCGAGGATAATGTAAATATTTACTTCTTTCATTTGCAAGGAGGCTTCTTTAGACATGTTATTCTGTTCACTTCGAGATCGCTTTCTGTATATTTATGTAGAATAACATATCTCGTACCGACCCAGGTTTATGTTCCTTCACTATTGTGCATTAAGTGTTTGAATTCACACATTGGGATTAGGAAACTGCAATGCCTGTGGCGTCGCTTCTTATATATTCGAACTTGAACTTATTTTGTCTAGTTTAGACAAATATCTCAACTTAAACAGTTATAGTTGTATTAATTGAAGTGACGCCATAAACTATGGTTTATTCAGCTCGCTCCTTTGTTTATTAGTCACCCAAATTACTTACACTAACCGTCCACCTCCCCAGGTACTGGCGTACCGCGCTAAAGAAGTTGATGTGCTTCGGTGTGGAAGAGTGAGACTTAAATATTCTACAGGTATTACCCATAATTCATGCAGGTGCTGTGCACCTGGTGGGTGATACCTTACTGGCAGTAAAAAGGACTCACTTTGTCTAACTTGAACAATTATTGTGAGAAATTGGAGTGACTAATCAGGCGGTGGCAGCTTTTTTTGACAGTGGGGGCGAAGATTTTATGTGAATGTCAACAAATCGCGACCTTTCTTTGGGGGTCCGGGGGCATGCTCCTCCTGGGAAAATTTTGAAATCTAGATCCTCTGAAACGCTGTTTCTTGCATTTTGAAGGGCCGCATGGTGTGCATTTCTACCGACATTTGTGGTGGATTTTAGTGACAAATATAGATAAGTGTTTCACCTTATTTTATCGTGGAGGCGACCGCCCCACTGCCCCCATGATGCCCCCGCCACTGCTAAGACAAGGGAATAGCTGAAGCAGTCCCTCTATTTTTGAACATGTCATCAACTGTTTCTTGGGTATGTCTGTTCTGGTTTCTTTCAAGCGTGACATTGACATCGCTCATGATAGTTTAGTGATGCACATAGTTATGTTTCACTCCCTGATTCTATCCATTACTCAGAATTGAGTACAAAAGTAAGATATAATGGGTTAAATGTTGCTTTCAGTTATTTTTAGATTTCGATAAAATTTTGCAGACTAGCGCCCATTTTTGTCTTTTAAAATGTTAATCACCAAATTTGAACATGAAAACAGTTTCTCATGCATGCCGGTTCGATTTTATTCCAACTTTGCATAATTGACGATTGGTTATTGATGCACGTCAGTTTGTCGTCTGGTGGCAGTGCTATTTTCATGTGCCCTTATCCATTTCTTGTACATGCTTTGAGGTTGTACAAAACCAAATCATAATGGTATACATAATCACATCGATTTTTTTTTACGTGCGACCATTTTTTTGTCAAAAGAACGAAAATCTGTACAAATTATCAACAGACCTCAGACATGCCTGGACCGATTTTATTACTGATCCTCATCATTTTGTTTTGTGGTTTGATTCAAAATGGGCGACTGGTGGCCATATTCTGCTTTTATGTGCTCTTAACTAGTTCTCGGGCACGCTTTGACCGATTTTGTACACAGACTGAGCATAGTAATCTTCAGTTATGCATGCATACTGATTTGTTTTTTTTTGTTTTCAAATTAATGACCTCTAAATGACAGGTGGCAATTTTGCCCAAAACAAACAATATTTGAACACACGCGGAAACAAAATTTACAAATCAATTGACAAACTTAGCCCACCGGAGGTCAACTTTGGCCACGTTTTGGCGGCCATGTTTTGTATATTTTCATATATTACCATATCTTTGATGTACCGTGACCGACTTTTTAAAAGTTACAAAGACTAAAAATGCTGGTAAACATATACATGTCGATTTGTTGTTCGATGTAAATGTACTCTCCCGTGAGGCGATGGCCGAATAATTGAACCTTGGCTGGCGAACATGCCTTGTCCCCAGTCTCATAAATTCTCTACGTACGAATATGGTAACTCTACAGTGACGCATGACCTCACGATATAAGGTACGTGTCATGTAATCCCGAATAATTAAAGTATCTCCGTGATGCAGTACATACGCACAAAAATACACAGATGAGAAATACAAAAGGGGGCATGTTCACTATTGGTGAATTGCGCCACCTACGACCATATAACACCTAAAAAAACGGCATGCAATACTGATTTTATGATATCTCATACGAGCTTGAGTTACGGAGATTGATACTGTATTTAAATTTCAGAACGTTTCAGTGCCAACATCGCGTTTTCAAATCCACTCTTATTTATCACGTGTTGTTGAAAGTAAAGCTAATATATAAAATTACTCTCATTGTCACGTACCAGAACAATCAAAATAGTTGTCTTTATTCACCATTAAATTAAACTCGAAATATAGAACTATTTATAAACCTATTTAGTGGATTCAAGAGCTTGATTGAACAATCGCCAGCTATTAACTTTAATACAATGGGGTTCTCAACCACGTGTTCCACTAAAATGTAATATATTAGCAAGATGGAAGCGGATGGCATTAGGTAAAGTCAAAGACAGTGTACACAGAGATTATACATATAACACAATTTTAGAGAATATTTCATTGATTGTGAAAGACGCACATCGCGAACTATCTAGTGCATGTAATGACCATTGGTACAAAGGGTGCATTGATTTGCATTTTTTTTTTTTTTTTTTTTGGAGAAATCACGGGCGTTAACATGCAAACGATTAAACTTAAAGCGGAGAGGGTCGTCACCTGAGCACGCGCGAGAATTTGGTCCCAAGCGATGATAACAACGCGACTAAAACGCAAATGCTCATTGGTAGACGCTTGTTTGTAAACATGCCGCATGCGTAGGTGACGACTTCCCTTCTTCAGATAGAACGCTGCACAAGAGTGAAGAACATGGAATAAAAATGTGTGATCACCGTACTCGGTTCGAAGAAAATTAATGTACAAAATAGAGTGAAAACGGCTTGTTTTGTATGTTTTATAGAATTTCACCGGTGTTTCCAATGGGGCGGATATGTCTACAATATCTCAAAAGTTTGCTCGGTGACATATGATGATATATATGATATGACATATATGATGTAAAAAACGATATATAATGTCTTACTAAGTTCACATACTGTTGATTAATACTATCACGAATAATTGTTATACACGTAGACTT